CATTCCACGACATGTCTTTTCAACTAAGCAGAAATCCTTAGCGAATTGTGTTTCTTGTACTCGTACAGAGTAGATTCGAATAAAATGAAAAAGACTATTTGATTTCACGCAAACAGCGCCTATGTATCTGTTGATACGTATTTCGACCTAATAGGTCTCATCAGAACAGTTATTCATAGGTGTTCTCATGAATAACTCTGTGAGAACACCTATAAATAACTGTTCTGATGAGACCTATTAGGTCGAAATACATATCAACAGATACATAGGTGCTGTTTGCGTGAAATCAAATATTTGCTGTCTTTTTCATTTTTTTCATAAATAGTTTATGTGATAGCTTGCTACAGTTTGTAATCTACTTTAACCACTTATATTGACGCCTAAAGGTAAGTTTAAACTGATTTATCGATTGATAATAATAGAATGCTCTTTGAGTATTATAAAGTATTCGAAACTATTTTACGGTTTTATTATATTTCATTTGTCACAGCCGTGTAGTTGTAGTCGTTTCGTCATGAACAGCGGTTATGCTTTATATAACTGAATTCCTAAATCCGTCCCCTTTGAGGTTCTCAAATCTGTCCCGGGACAGATTTAGGAATCTTTTCATATATTTTTCTTTCAATAAATTTTAATTTTCCCTGACTTCTTCTTCGCGTGCCATATCAGAATTATCCGACGTTGGCGATCACCATTGCGAAGGCTTCTCGATCTTCTGCAATATGGAATAATTGTCTTGCATTTGGTATCTGAGTTCATTCACGAATGTTTTTTAACCAAGAAACTTGTTTTCTTCCTACACCTCTACGGACCTATATTTTGCCTATAAGGATCAGTTGTAATATGTTATATCGACTTCACCTTACTATATGTCCCAGATAAGACATTTTTCGATTTTTAACAGTCTTTAGCAGTTCTCTATCTTTGTTGACGCTCCTTAGTACTTCTTCATTAGTTTTCCTTGCTGTCAAAGGTATCTTTAGCATTCGTCTATGAACCCACATTTCCAATGCTTCAATTTTGTTTATGATCTATACTTTTAGCGTCCACACTTCTGCACTATAGAAAAGTACGGACCAAACACAGCACTTAACCATTATTTGCCTTAGTTCTGACTGAGATGGTTATTGCAAATAAATGTCTTCATATTCATAAAAGTAGTTTTAGTCATTGCTATTCTACGTTTTATTTCTATATCTGGATCCAGTCGGTCTGTTATTAAGTCTGTCTCCAAGAAGAGATTAAACGTAGATGTGATCTAGCAAAAGTTGCCACAGTGAGGTTGATCAACTGCTTAATATTCCCAATACTGACCTACGGATGTGAATCTTGGACTCTGAGACAATCGGAGAGAAGAAAGATAGACGCCACTGAAATGTTCTGTTGGAGACGAATGTTGCGAATTCCTTGGACCGACCGTAGAACAAATAATTCAATTTTAAGAGAGCTAAAAGTTAGCCAACGACTCTCTAGTAAAGTCCATCTCCAACAATTAAAATATTTTGGGCATGTTATGAGAGCAAACACAGAAAACATGGAAAGACTCATAATACAAGGAAAGGTAGAAGGCCGAAGATCACGAGGAAGATCCCCAACAAGATGGATAGATCAAATTACAGGAATATGCCAAAGACCTATGCATGAATTAAAAGAAATGACCAGAGACACAGATCTCTGAAGACGGACAATACACGACATCACGTCGACCACTGCACTCCCCCTGGGGGGTCAGAATTGAAGAGAGATATATCATTTTGTGAACTTTATCAACTTGGACTCCGTTTAATTGAAGCTTTGCATCGGGATGTGGGTTACAACTTAACACTAACAATTTGGTTTTGAGTTTTTTTTTGTTATTTTTTTTATTTTAACGCCCATTTCTCCTCCTATCTCGTGAATACGATCAAGCAAAGTTTGAACACCTTCAATATTATCTGATATAATTACTGTAACGTCTGCATATCTAATCACATTAAGTAGTTCCCCGTTGATTTTTATTCCATATGGTTGTATCTCAAGTGCCTTTTTAAATAACTCGTCCAAGTAAACATTGAACATTGTTGGCGACAAAGTGCAACCTTGTCTGACTCCTCGTTATATAGAGATTTCATCTGTGTAGTTATCTCTAATTTTTACGATAGCAGTTTGATTCCAGTATAAATTTTTAATAACACGAATATCCTTGTCATCTATTCCGATATTTTTCAGTATTTGCATTTTTCTACGAAACATGCAAATACACCTTTTCTTTGGTCACGGCATTTTTGTAATAGGATGTTAAGCGGAAAAAGTGTCTCCATGGTTCCCATAGCATTTCTAAAACCAAATTGGGTATCTTCAAGATCTTCTTCGCATTTGTGTCTTACTCTGTTATGAAGTATTCTGAGGAAAATTTTAAGAGTGTGGCTCATTAGGTTAATTAATCGATATTCTGAGCATTTTCTCGCATTGTTTTTTCCCTGACTACTTAAATTATTTTTTATTAATATATAATCACTTTTCGATATGTTTTAATAGTTTTAACATGTAGACACCTTAGTCTTGAACAGTTATGTTGTTATTAAACTTAGAGTTCTGTGAAAAAGATGAAAATTTTAAGAATTGCGTAAATTGATAAATCAATACAAGCTCTAAACTTTTTCAGGTGTCACAACGCAGAGCGTGGAATCCTGATGCCATGGTGAGAGCTATCACTGCTGTGAAAGATAACGAAATGGGATATAAAATAGATAATAAGACTTTTGGTGTTCCGAGGGCTACTTTAAAAGATTATGTCAAATCCGACCGCACACCAGAGGAATGTATGAAATCAAAATTTTGAAGAATGCCAGTTTTTACAGCTGACCTCGAGATAAGTCTTGTCGACCACTGTCTGGATATGGAGCAGCATTATTATGGACTGACTATTTCCGACCTGAGGCGATTGGCTTACCAGCTAGCCATTTTAAACCAAGTACCTCATCCTTTCTCGCATGAATCAAAGGCTGTTGAAAAAAAGTAGGTTAGACTATTTTTCAAACGCTATCAGAGGTTTCCTTCAGACGACCGCAGAACTTGTCAATGGCTAGAGCTAAAGTTTCACAAAAGAAAATGTTGACAAGTATTTCTCTATCCTGAAGCCTGAACTCGAGAAAATAAACTTTGACCCCTCAAAAATATTTAATGTAGACGAAACAGGTATATCTGTAGTCCAGCACAAAGCTACTAGAGTAGTAACCTGTAAGGAGAAAAAGCAAGTGCATAAACTTTCATCTGCTGAACGTGGATCGACAACTACAGTCATAACCTGTATGTCAGCAGCAGGCCAGTATATTCCACTCTTGTTAATATTTTCACTTAAAAGGTGGCAGGAAGAATTGCTTGACGGAGCTCCTCCGGGGTCGATAGGCGGATGTTCAGAGTCAGGTTGGGTAACTGGTCCATTGTTTCTTCAGTCGTTTAAACACTTCAGTTCTATTTTTGAACCAATCAAAAAAGAATCCTGTTGTGCTTATTCTTGATGGTCACTATTCCCACACTAAAAATTTCGAACTTATTGACATTGCAAGAGAGTCGGGAGTATCTATAGTTTGGCTTCCTCCACACTCAACAAACAGGCTACAGCCTTTGGATGTCTCGTTTATGTTTCCTTTGAAAACTAGATACGCAAAAACTATAGAACAACGGTTGGCTAGTAACCCAAATAGAGTTGTCAGAAAACTGCAAATATCCAGTCTCTTTTGTGAGGCGTATCTTCGTGCAGCTACTCTTAAAACGACCGTCAATCTGTTTAGGAAGACTGGGATCCATCCATTTAATTTTGATGTCTTACAGTAGCATGATTTTATTGCTAGACAACTTGAACAGCAAGAGGTGCCTGCAAATGGATGGGATAATGACAACCGGAATGTTCTAGTTCGACCTCAAGCGGTCAATCCACGAGACATCCAGAATGTTCCAGTCCCACCTCAACTGGTCAGTCCACGAGACATCATGAATGTTCCAGTTATCGAACCTTTCACATCTTCTAGAGCCGGTACTTCATTCTTGGTGACTGGATCTTCTCACGAAATTTCTTTACAAAAGAAACAAATGGCAGAAGAGAAGAGGCAGTCAAGGGCTAATAAACGTCTCATCATAGAAGATAAAGAAAATCCCGACACATCATTGAACAAACGTCCCAACAAGAAAACAACGAAGTGAGATTTAAATTCAAGTGACTCTGAGGACGAAATAGAAGTTCCACTGATATCAATCGATGATGAGGATAGTTCTGGTGATTAAGATGCACAGATTCCAGATTTGTGGAAAACGTTTTGTATCAAAATGTATAAACATGTTCCTATTTCAACAAATTTATTTATTATCCTTTAACACTCCCCATATATTCAGAATGGATCTGGTGGACTAACGCGATGCACCGCGGCCTGAAACGTAAAAAGACGTGGTGGACAACATCGACCCACCACGGCCCCTAGACAAAAAAAATTTCAACTCAAGTGGTGGACAACGTTGACCCACCATGGCACTCTATGTGTTAATATATATATTTGATTATAAAAATAAATGAAGCGCCCATGTCTGGTAATAAGATATTATTCTTTTATTGTTCGTCGGCAAGCAGGTTTTTGGATGTTTCAACTGACTTTATAAATACTATACGTACATATACCGTGCTGTTTTCATCATTCATTGTTTAGCTTTTTGTTATGATTGTAAGTTGTGTGGCCTGTTTTTATCATCTTTTCTATGTGGCACTTCCCCAGTTGGTATATAATATATCGCTTCTTGATATTTCTTTTATTTTCCCTGTAAATTTGCTACTGTCTTTTTTAATGTTTCTGTCCTCGTTTTTTAAATTCTATTCTTTAACCTCTCCTATACGAAACTTCAGCTCATTAATAGTTAGTCTATTATACTTGCCCTTTGTGTTATTTCTTCTATATTACCCAAGTAATCGAATAATTTCAAGCTGGCTCGTTAATAATTGCCAAGGGCAGGATTACGAAAAGCTGAAAGGATTAAAATACTCTATAAATGAATAAAAATAATAATTTTTAAGTATAAAAACATTAAGCAAACATGTGGGTATTTTAAGCATAAAACAGTGATTAGGAAATAAAACCTAAATTTTACCTGTCAAACTGTAGTTCTTTAACTTTGGATTTTATCATCAATGAAGCCCATTTAGCTTGTTTGGCACACTGTTCCGGATCATAACTTAAATTTTCCAAAGCTTCCAACATAATTTCCTTTAAAATATTTTCAACTTTTTCTGAATTAAAATGATTATTCGGTTCCAGTCTGTAAGTATTGGCATATTTTGGAGGCTGTAATTATTATGAAAATAGGTTGAAAACAAATAAACCCTTATGCATGTCGTGTGAGTTGTAAAAAAGAATAGAAATATCGAGTATTCAAAAGTAGTACCAACTACTACATATGTATGAGTGACGTAAGTATTCAATAAAGTTAAGGGAATGCAGCTAAACAGATGGTAATTTAATAAGCTGAGAATCATTTTAGATCGCATAAATAATGAGGACATCTTTAAAAGAAAAGTACAGATACGAATACTAGGCGAAATGAGAAAAATCTAAAAAAATAAAAGAAATATATATATATATATATATATATATATATATATATATATATTAATGTGATATTAAAAGTCTGAGGTGCGCCAAGCAATTAATTAGCTAATTCATTAATTAAACTTATTTAAATGAAGTGCTTCAATGCCAATGCTTTACATATGATCAGTAAGGTCCAAAGAATACCGGAATAATAAAAACATATATGATACAACATTATATATTGCAATAAAATTCACACTCAAATATCGTCAATAAAAAATATCTCATATGATTATCAAAATTTTGTTCTACGTACGTGAACATTCAAAAATTAATGGTATATACGATATAAATTAAAATTTCAAATCAAAATTGTTGTTCTAAATATCCTGATCAAAATATTCCTATCTTTTTTAAATCAATTGTTTAAAAAATGTTTTGTTAATAAAGAAAAACATCATCATCATTTTGGCTTTACAACCCTGTGTGGATCCTAGCCTCCCCAAGAATTCTCTTCCAGTCGACCCTATCCATCGCCTTCCTCCGCCAAGCACGTATTTCCATATTTCTCATATTTTGGCCTATGTTATCTAGGAATCTTATTCTGGGTCTTCCTCTTCTTCTTTGACCAATAGGTCTATCAAGGAGCGTTTTTCTAGCTGGATCGGTTTGCTCCATCCGCATTACATGGCCTACCCACCTCAGACGATAAAGAAAAACAGGCGAATGGTAAAACTGTCTCTCTGATGATGAGTTGTCCAAATCCTTGTTCCTTGTAGCCTACACTATCTATTCTTAGCAGTCGCCTAGGTAATCAGCAAAACTCACAAACATTCACTTCTACTGCTTACTACCTCTGGGAACCACCAGAGAACAACGACTGTTCGCCTTGCACCCTTAAAAAAAACTGATTATCTTTTCTCCCTCAAAAATCTAGCTAAACTCTCATTCGTATATACCTATCCCACTTCTTTCAATCTCCTCCAATCAAAGTTCGTCACACTTATCCCCATCTACCATTTAGATAACAAACAACAATTTTATCTACAATTATAAATTTTCTAAAAACTATTAACATGCTAATCGGTTTCTACAAATTCTTAAGAACTAACGGAAAATTATATTTTCTAAATATTTCTATTCTATTGTATTATTTACTGTATATCGACGTACAAGTCTATTTGGAAAACCCTCCCGCATTGTTCACGATTTCACTAAGCTCACTCACGTCACTCGAATATATTTTAAAAAGAAAATAATTTATACATATCTTTTAATTTTTGTTTACTACACATAATCCAGGATAATAGACTTTCATTTCTTCGAAATATCTTTTATTTTGTACTTTGAAATATATTAAAAGCAAAAACCAATATAATTTTCAATTTTACATATCATAATAATATATATATATATATATATATATATATATATATATATATATATATAGCGCAGTATATAAAAAGCGCAAAAAGGTAATTGTTTCTGCCAAAAGTATTGTTTATGTCTACCACAAGAGTACTAAGAGCATCTAGAGAACCAACCCCTTTTTTAAAAGAGAATTGATTTTGACAAGCCAATTTATTATAAGTTATCCACCATTCTAGTCTAACTTTGATAATTATTTCCAAAGTCTTTAAAACACACGACATCAAAGAGATTGGCCTTATATGATTGTACCAAGTTGGGATCTTTATTTGGTTTAAGGATTGGTATGACAATACCAGTTCAATTCAACAGTATTCAGTATATCAACAGTATATCAATTTCTGCATCTTTATAAAGAATATTATAAAAAATATCAAGTATGTAATTCGTTTTTCACTATATTTGGAAGTTTTTTAAGCATAGGTTATTAATATCATTGTTGCCCGGAGCGGTGTTAGACTTATTAGTTAGCGCAAAGTCAAGTTCTTCCCGTGCAAATGGATTTAAAAGAAAGTGAGTTGAAATTATAGTATTATTTTGAATTTCTATAGCAGTATTAACTGATAGAGATGCTATTTTGTCTAAAAATTCTTCAATCAATTCATCATTAAAATGATTAATACTTGGAGTATTCCTTTGTAGTTTTCTTGCTTTATTCCAAACATTTTTAGTAAGCATATTTTGATTTAAGGATGAACACCAGTTTTTCCAACTTTCTTGGACTTTTAGTTTTAGAACTTTTTTTGTTTTAGTCATTACTTCCTGGCATCGTAAGTAATTAGCGAAACTCGAGTTAGTTTTATATGTTTTTAAAGCATCTTTCCTGTTAGAAACAACTTGTTCACATTCGAAATTCCACCACGGAGGAGGTGGTCGTTTAATAATTTTAAAGGGTTTATACTCGTATCTCGGAATGAATTGAGAAGATGCATTATTAATACTTTCCATTAGGAAGTCATATTTCCCTGAGGTAGACAAGCTGTTTAAATAGTTAAGAAAATTTTGTTCAATCAGATCAGAATATTGGATCCAATTGGCTTTATTAGCATTATATTTGGACTTAATAAATTGTTCCAATATTTTACACCAATCTGAAGAAGTCGATCGAATATCTGGAGGTGTATAAATTGAAGCAAAATTAATATCAGAGTTATTACATTTTAAAGTGATTCCACAAACAAGAATTTCGTCAGTAAAATTTTGTGTAATACGAATTTCTTCAAAACGATGAATTGATTTTATAAATATAACCATTCCCGCGTAACCGTCATATCGGTCGCGACTAACAATCTTATAACTAGACTTCGGCAAATATGCAAATAAAAATGTAGAAAATATGCGCATAAATATGCACGTGTTTACCCGAAAATATGCAAATATTTTACAAAATATGCATACAAATAAATAAAAAAATCGTAAAATAGTAACAATTTTATTTAAAAAAAGTGTACATAACTAAATATTTCCTACTATTCATTAAGATTTACATTTATTTTAAGTAACTACATCATTTTTAAGTATGAATAAACTTATTTAGAATTATGGTAACAATAAATGACCAAGTGGTGTTCAAAATTTTCTAACAAAAACTTGTGGCTTCTGTCTGAGTACATATATTTATATATGCAAAAACTTCGTTCAACATCAACTGATGTAACGGGAGCATTTTTCAAACTAACCAAAACATTTGGTTCTAAATTAATTGTTTCCGAAATATTTCCAGCTAGAACACTGACTACTTCAGAAAGAATATGGTAACCTTTATTTTTTTCCATAGTAGCTCCAAATTTTTTTAAAATATCTTTTCCAATATTACCTCTAACGTTCCGACAGTTTTGGTGATTTTAAACTGTGTAAATGTTTTTTGAACAAAACTAAAATTTGATTTTATAAATGAAAGTTCTTGTTGAAGCAAGTTACTCTGAAAAGTTTGTTTAGAATACAAAAGAGATTGAGAACTTTCATCTGTTAACGTATCAATTGTTCTTTATTTTAACAAAATGATCTGCATAAAAATTAGCTGCTTCTAACCATGTTCCCCATCGCGTTAAAATAGGTTGTGGTGGAAGAGGAATGTTAGGTAGCATTTCTTTATAAAGTTGAATTCTTATAGGAGATTTAAGAAATACTTTTTTGACACTGAATATCATGGTATTAACAAGAGGAAACTTTTTTCGTATTTCCTCTGCAACTCTGTTTAATCCATGCGCTACACAAGTAACATATATTAAATCTGGGAAAAATATTTTTAAATTTTGTCCTGCTTTCACCATATAAGGAGCAGCATCCGATAAAATAAGCAGTAATTTATTAGAAGGAATAGTTGTCGGAAGAAAAAAAGTTGCTAATGTTTCTTGTATAAAACGCGAAATTGTTAAAGCATTTGTTTTCTCAAGTTGCTGGCATGAAATAAGATGAGATTTTGGTAAGGTATCTTCTTTAAGAACACCAATCAATAGATGAGCAATATACTTTCCTGAGGAATCCGTGGTTTTGTCTACAGATATGTAAAAATAATTATCTGCAATTTCTTCCTTAATATTAATTAACACCGACGAGTATAGCCCGTTCACATTATTTCTTCTTAGAGACCGATCACTTGGAACATTAAGTTTGCAATATTTTTTTAGAAACGAACTAAAATTTACATTTGCTAATTTTGAAAGCGGTATGTTTGCAGACACTAATGCGCGACACAAGTCTTTATTAAAAGTTTCTTGCTCATCTAATTTTTTTGAAGTAGATTGGAAACATTTAGCCATTGAAGTTTGATGTTTTCCTCCTATTTTTCCTTTTTTTGCAATGTGTGAAGCAGTTCTCACATGTTGGTCTATCTGAAATTTCTTCTCACATGCTATCTATAAATAAAAATAAAAACCTTTATTTTAACCCAACCTTTAAAATATAAAAATATACAAGGTGTTTTTGGTTAATCAAATAACTGGTTTGGAAAAAAAAACACTCGCTAAGTGTTTTAAATGCAGTATTAATCCACAAATTAGTTTTTGTTACTAACCATTAGTACATCATATAACTTATTTTAAAATTCAACAAAAGTTTTTTTTTGTTAATTCAATTACAATAAAAATAATTGTGTTTTAGAATAGCTGACTTCATAAAAAAAAGTAAAGGTGAAAAATTTTTCTAAATACACACCATTATATTGTACCATGGACAATTTTTTCTCACTAAAGGAAGCTATTTTTCATTTAAAAACAACCTACGAGTACTAAATTTCAAGTAAATACGATTATTGGTTTTAAAGTTATTGGTGTTATTAACTGAAAGGATTTAATTTTTTTTTTAATTTTAACACCCTGTATCTCGAAAAGTAAATAAGTTTGACCCCTCATTAACTATATCGTTTTGTTCAATTTTTCGAGAAGTATCTACAGTCAAACGTTGTAAGTGTCATTTGGAAACACCCTGTATGTATGAAATATTAGATATTTAATAGAAAATATTAGATACTTACAATTTTGCCACAGACTGAACAGTAGATTTTTCCCATATCCATAGACAGCTCTTTATAAGGTTTAATCCAAGTTGAAGCACTGGTTGTTTTAGGCATTATAAAATCACAATCTTTCTTTTTGTTACGCACAACGAGTGTTTACGCTTTGAATATCAAAACAAAAATGATTTACAAATCTGAGCATCAAATTAGAAATGTTTAGGTACCTAATTCAATAAACTGGGAGATTTTGGAAAATCCCTAAATTAGGAACAAAACTATTAGCCGTTTACCTGCTGTTAAGATACAATAAATTGTAGATAGATTTGGGGATTAGATCATAAAATGCAAATGAGCGAACCCTTAGCGATTTTCCAATAACTGAATGCCTCAGTGACCGAGACTTTCTAAGAATGTTGAGGGCTACTTAAATTGATCTTCTTTGAAATTGTAAATGTTTTGTACCTGTAGAGATTACGTACTTAGATCATTTCTTGATTAAAATGACTACAAAATTTTATACAAGAATTGAAATAAATTGGTATGTTTAAAAATTTTCAAATACAGTATAAAAATCTGAACTTTTATGCACTTTATGCAAACTTTTATACAAATATGCCAAAATATGAAATATTTGCATAAAATATGCACAATATGCAAAATATGCAATATGTATATTTGCCGAAGTCTACTTATAACCCTTAAAATTATATTGTTTATCGGGTTTATTAAACCATGTCTCACTCAACAAGGCAACATCAATATCATTTTCATTTAAAAATGTGTTAAACTGTTTTTGTTGGCGACAGCAGATCTACAATTCCACTGCATGATTTTAAATAAAACAGAAAAAAATTATGTAACCTTTTTTGTACCCTTCAATACAGAAGTAATTTCATGATTTATTCATTCATTATCTAAAGATTTCAACTTGTCCAATGTACGTATACTTTTTAAAAAACTAATTATAATTCATAGGTCGAGCAATATCTTGGTTCTCCATTTCTCCACTGTAAGAAGCGGAACGGGCTGGGTTAGCAGGTAGAGGTTGAGATGGTTCAAATCTGAAGTTAAACATCGGAGGTGGCTGAAGAGTTAGAAGATACAGCAGCAGAAGAATTGGCTTGCCTCTTTTTGTTAGTTTTGGCGAAAAGTTGGATTAAAATTAGTACTCGTAGCTACATTAGAAGTAGATGATGTTAGGGACATTTTATTTTGTATAATATTAGGAAAACTTTTATCGTAGTTTTATAAAATTGAAAATTTATTTTGGCCTAGAGCCTCTGAATATGAGTTTTCAATAATTTTTAAATTTCACTGTAGCCTTAATCAGCCGCGGGTTGCCGAGGGAAGCTACTGCTCGCATAGCATAAATGGATGATGGATCTCATGTTAGGAAAGAAATAAAGCAAACAAACAATGCGTAATGATGTGGCGATACACATAAGGCGACAATCGAGAATAGAAAGTAATCAGACTTTACATATTATCTTCTAAACCACTACTCTCAGTCCAAAGAGCCTCCTAGATGCTCCTAGAGAACATCAAACACTTGAGTCTTAGTAAAAAAATTAAAAATTGTTGACTCAGTAACACGCAAAGAGATTTAAAAAATTTATATAAAAGTAATCTAATAATAATTTCAAAAAGTTTAAAATAAATTTCCTGAAATTTCTGTATTAATTTAAGACCAGGCTATTAATTTATTTTAGACACGAGTACTTAAATAAAATTTAAAATATTGAATATTCGTTAAAAAATTGACATGCATACATTTAACGTGTTATCTAAATACGCGTATCAGAAATATCAGAAAATTACATACCTCAGAGGCCTGCGTTAACAGCGAATTCGAACTCATTATTTTGTAACGACCAATTAAAAAGTTTTTCGCTCTGCTGCCCACATTGGGATCAAAAGTTAACAAGGTATTCAGGATGATTTAACGGAATAAATATCCAAATATCTTCGCTTTCATATCGATCCTTATATTTCAGCATGTGATAGACAGCACCTGGCACAACAAAAACCCGATAGCTAATTGATAGGTAAAAATGCATTTCTAGTTTTTGATCTAGGTCAGTAAAAATAAGAAAAAATCGATATGGTAAAATTCAATTAGTAACTTCTAATAGATAGAATTATTTACAGGTGATAAAATAATTTTTTAGCTTGTTTAGCTTTGATTACTATAATATTTACTTATTAAAATATCAAAAATAAATTATTTTTTTCTGATACTGCTTATTATTTTTTGTATTAACATGGGTGAATACAAAATCGAAGTAACGTTCAAATAACATGAGCGTTTTCCACATTAAAAATTTTTTAAATAAGAATATTAAATTATTTTCCCTTTCCATTAAATATCAACGGTTTTAGTCATAAAATATGGAGTCATATTACACTTAAATTCTATAACGGGTTATTATCGGAATTAACACTACGGCAAATGTTGCCAAAAGGAATACACCATCTCGGAGTATCCGAAAAAGCAATTCAAATGTCCTATTTGTGAGCTAGACCAAAAACTCACATCCTATTCAACACCCCAAACATCCAAGTGCCCTATCTGCAGCAGCAAGCAAGCATGGATCCGTAATAAAACAAAAGTGAAAGATGTCTCAACCTAAGTCTTCTTCTTCTTCTTCTTCGTCTAGCCATTCACGTCCACATCTGAACATAAGCCTCTTCAAGTCTTCCTTTCCATTGTTTTTTATTGTACGCTACTTGTAGCCAATTTTTCCCGGCAGTCCTTTTCAGATCATCTGTCCATCTCATAGGAGGTCTGCCTCTGGGTCTTTTGTGTTGGTATGGTCTCCAGGTTAAAATTGATCTGTGCCATTTGTTTAGATCGCTCCTAGCTACATGTCCAGCGTATTCCCATTTCAGCTTTAATGCTTTTTGCACCACATCGGTGACTTTGGTTTTCTGTCTTATCCATGTGTTTGTTTTCTTGTCCTTAAGTGATATACCTAGCATTGCTCTTTCCATCGCGTGTTGAGTGACTCTAAGTATATTCATATTCTTTTTTGTGATTGTCCATGTTTGTGCCGCATAAGTTAATATCGGAATAATGCATGCATCAAAAACTTTAGATCTAAGATGTAATTGAATTTGTTGATTTCTGAGTATATAGTTCAGTTTACCGAATGCTGCCTAAGCTAACTTTCTTCTTCTTTTTATTTCTTCAGTCTGAATTTCCCTATTTAGGATTATTTTTTGTCCCAAGTATATATATATTCTTCAACTTTTTCTATAACTTTATCGTTTATTATTGTCACGGTGTCTTCGGAGTGCATGACTTTTGTTTTGTTTAAATTCATTTTCAGTCCTATTTTAGAAGATTCGGTATGAAGTTCTACAAGCATGGTTTGCATTTCTTGTAGGTCAGTAGCTATCAGGATTATGTCATCTGCAAATCGTAGATTACTGAGGTAGCGGCCATTGATGTTTATTCCCTTATATTTCCAATTTAGGTTTTTAAAAACGTCCTCCAAAACTAAGGTGAACAGTTTTGGTGATAAAGTATCTCCCTGTTTGACTCCCCTGTTTAATGGTACATGGTTCGTGTGTTCATTTTCATTTAGGTAGTATGTAGCTGTAGCTTGGTTCATAGTTTCTTTTATTAAGTTAATATATCTGCTGTCTATTCTACAATTTTGCATTGCGTTTATTACGGCCGTGTGTTCTATGGTATCGAAAGCTTTTTCGTAGTCTACAAATGCAAGGAAAACTGGAAACTTGTATTCGTTAAATTTTTCTATTAATATTTTTGTGGTTAACAGGTGATCGGAAGTTGAATAGCCTTTTCTAAAACCTGCCTGTTCATATGGTTGGTATTCGTCTAATTTCCTTGTTAGTCGAGTAGTTATGACTTTGGTGAGTATTTTAAACAGGTGTGATAATAGGCTGATGGGTCTGTAGTTTTCCAATTTTTGACTATCACCTTTCTTGTGCAATAAGATTACTTTAGAGTTGTTCCAGCTCTTAGGGACTTTGCCCTGATGTAAACAACTGTCCACAAGCTTAGTTACAATTGCAATTAGTTCTGACATCTTCTAATTATCTGTGTAATACTATCTTCGCCTGCAGCTTTATTTCTCTTCACGTTTTCCAATGCTGTAGTTACCTCTGAAATTGTTACTTTTGGCATTATTTCTGATCCAACATTTTTTATTAATTTCCGTGCTGGTCTCATCTCATCATCTTGTTGATGTGATCTGTAAAGTTCTGTGTAAAATTCTTCTATTCGTGTCAGTATGTTTTCTCTACTTGTGACTTCATTTTCGTCTTTTCCTATTAATGATATCATCTGACGTCGTCCTAGTGTCGGTCTGAGACATTTCATACTATTATTTTTTTCAATAGTTGTTGTTATTAATTTTTCGTTTTCTTTTCTTTTTTGTTGTCTGATTCCTTTTCTAATCTGCCTAGTAAGTTCTCTATATTCGTCGGTTCCCCTTTTGTTAGATTTGTTTAAGATCTTCCTTCTTTTTATTTGTTGTAATATTTCTTTGTCTAATTCATTGTATGTTGTTTTCGTTTTTTTCAGTTGCAGAAGGCTTTTATTCACTGTTTCGGTAATAAGGTTATTCAAATCATCAATATCATTGGAGTTTATCTGCTGCATGCTAACTTGATTTAATGCATATGCACTATCTTTTTATTAAATTCACTATTTTTGATTTCTTCAGATGTCCATTTGTATCTTTTTTCATGTATTCTTTTTCTTTCTAGTTTTTTGTTAATTACTAGTTTTGTTCTTATTAGTCTATGATCGCTTCCTAGGTCAAACTGATTTAATACTGATACGTCTTCTACTAGGTTTCTATTCTTCGTTAAGATATAATCTATTTCATTCTTTGTCTTTTTATCGGGACTCATCCATGTCCATTTTCTGCTTGGTTTTTTATTGAAAAAGGAGTTCATTGAGTACATGTTATGTTCATTCATGAAATTGAGAAGCATTTCTCCTCTATCGTTTCTTTTCCCGTAGCCATAGTTACCAATTAAATGTTCATAATCTTCCTCTTTTTTGCCCAATTTAGGATTAAAATTTCCTAATAGTATTTCGTAATTTGCTTTATTTGTTTCTATAGCTGTTCTTATTCAACTCATACTCAACCTAAGTAGCAAAGCTTAAATGAAAGTTCGCCGGACACACCCTAAGGCAGAAAGATGAAAGATGGACTAAGACAATTATACATTGGAGCATCAATAACTGCTTGTATATGATTGAAAAATAAAGGGAACTCCCTCAAGTAATTTGTCACGATTCTTGCAGTATGCGGCCGTGCATTATCATGTATAAAGATGAAATTCCCAATAAATTAACCAAATGGAACTACAGTTTCTACCAAAACATCCTTTATATAACTTTGAGCATTAAGGGGTCCATTGATGAAAATAAGTTCAGTTCGAGCTTAAGGCTGGGCAGTTCTGAGATCCCTAAGGAAAATCATTCGCTGATTTTCTCGACTGACACAAAATTATCTACAATTATCAATATGAACTCCAATCTGATAGATCAAGCACATTATGCATTACTCGACATTACTAGACATATTACCTTGTATCCATTAACGATAATAATATCGTCATCGCTACCTTCTTAGAAATACAACTACCTCTGTTTGTTTATTTTTTTACTCTATTTCTCTGTTTACTTACTGAGAATTACCCGAAATAATCGATCAGAGAGCATGTTGTTTATTAGTTTCAATGTTGTTTTGAAAATAATTAGTTTGGATAGCTTATATAGAAGTCCTTCCTTCCGTATCGTAGGCCACAAGGCCTGTCAAGTACACAAAAACTACAGTAGTGTTTTGTTGTTTTTGGAAACCCGCTTCTATATGTCTAGTTAGATCTAGGACTTGATCTGCGCAGCTCCGATTAGGTCTGAAACCTACTTGTTCTGGTGAAATATTTAGATTAAATAGATGGATTTTAACTTAATCGTGTTGTTTACTGGGTTTTAATACAGTATTAACTTTGATTTTCTTAAAAACTTTTTAACTTGTTTACTTAGTTTTCTAAGTAGGCTCTAAGGTTAATTGTCTGCTCGACCTTTTGAAGTCAATTTTCTTCGTTGTTTTTATCCATTCCCTAGTAACACACGACGTCCTATGGACGTCCAATATACGGCCAGTTTTGGTCCGGACGTCCCTGGACGTAAAATGGACGTACTATGGACGTACGAAGTGGACGTACTTTGGGTGGACTAAATATGGACGTTCTCTGGACGTCCGTACTCGGACGTTCGCTGGACGTCCATACTCGGACGTTTTCTGGACATCCGACATTTACCAATTATGGGATCAAATAGCAAATATTTCAATAAAATAAAAACTTATTTACGTTAATAAAATAATTAAACGCGAAAAGGTTAAATCACAATTAATTAAAAATTGTATAGTTTAATATATCCAAAACATGTTTTTGTTTTTAGGTAAAGTGTAAAAATCTTTTATTTCTAGATAATTCGTTACAATTGTTATATTATTCTAGTTATCAAGATATATGCTTGCTAATTCTAATAAGTAAAAATATGATTTTTATCGACAAGATGAATCTTGATAATCTTTTCCACAGAATAATTTGTCTCTTTTGTCTTTTTAAAGACAAAATAATGAAAAATAATGATGTGATATGACATGTGATGATTGATGATATTAAATTAATTGTCAATATTGTCATTGTCATGTCATACCTATTTAAACAAATCGTACAGTTTAATCATAACATTATTATTATTATCGCTTTAATAAAAGAAATAAAAGAACTCTATTTAAGCAGTGTACAGTGCATTGGTCTTTTTGATGCTTCCTTTGATAGTATATTGTTAAAGGTTTGGTACCA